ATATCACGAAGTCAAATCTTTGCTTCTTCTCATCTTCTGCACTCACAAGTAGATCAATATTCTCCAAGCTATCAATACTCTTGTTGCAGTGGGTTGGCAAATGACTTCCCGAAATTCTGTTCTCTACATAAAGATGATTAACCCAATGGCAATCCATATTTTGGGATGTCTTTGTCATTTGTCTACGTTCAATCCTGACGTCAACATTATCAAAAGGGATAGTATAACCTGGATGGACCGAAGAACCGTTTTCTTCTTGGAACGTGTCCTCCAAATTTCGTTTGGCAGTTTTCAACAGCTCGTCGTGGTTTTCTCCCAAGATGTCCATTTTTCGTAAGACTGTTTGATTGCAGCATGTGATTCTTAGCTTCGCACAAGTGTTAATCACCGTCTACAAATCACATATAATAGCCGTATAAATTGTAATGAAACATATAGTTGTGTGAACATGTTTGATAGTTGAAGGGGTTTCATTGATCTATCTATATTTTCAAGACTGCTGCAAAACAGAACTCGCATATACAAAAATGTACATATTGTATGGTCATTGGATTGTATAAAATCATACAAACAAATGTATTGTAAAAAAGCAGGCAAATAGAATAATTGTGTATAAAATCAAGTATGTTTTTTCCAGGTGACTCACCTCTAACGATTTGGTTTTTATAGTTAGTCCTATTATGGAAGCTAGTGCATTCATATGCTTATTTCGCTGCTTTAGTAGAACTGATCCAGCAACAGCCATTGCAGGAGACCACTCTAAATCTTTGGCAGTGCCTCTGGATTTCGAACAACACGCACGCAAAAACGAATGAAACATTGGAGCGCGTTCCGCCCATTCATCGCAAACTTTTTCCAGGCTAAACTGCAATAATTTCTCTTTCGTTGTTCCGCGTAATATTGACGGGTTTTTTACAGAACACAAATCGTCAATTTCTGTCTTGATAAGTTGTAACAAACGATCTACGACCTTCTCTCGTAATTGTTTCGATTTGACAACGACATTAGCAATCCCTGTAGGATTTTGGTGCAAAATGGCTTTTACAATTTTGGCAAAGTCTCCTACAATGTTTTTATTTTTCACCTTTGAAGGATACTTTACAGAGATAGTAACCCTGCTCTCATCAGTTTTTTTGTTCACTGGCGCTTTCTTAGGCGTGGACATAAATATCGGGCACAAATCAATATTGCTCGTTAAGGCTTGTGACGCTTGTCCTGGTTGAACGGTGGCGGTGGGAATAAAAGGCTGTGTGACAATCAAAGTAACGTCTTTCTGTTCAATGCCACTTGCACTGTCCGAGTCCAGTAAGGGGTCATCTTGTTCATCAAATTTTAGAGACTTTCTTGTTATCTCTGTGACTTCGAAACTAGTGTCATGCAATCTTCACTTTGGCTCGTTATTCTGTGTCAGTTCCCTTCCATTAAATAAATTTCGAAAGTACTTATTCAACTCACTTACGGACTTGTTAGCTTCGTCCAGACGCTTTAATTTATTTACACAGTTACGACACAAGAATGAAGTCGGACCACATTTGTCACTGTAAATGTCTAAGTCGATTTTCGCAGTTTCGCGAAGGATACCCACGAAATCGTGAGTTTTGCTTTTACCAAACAGTCTCGTACGTTTATTTTTATCTATTTCTTCACCCTTGCATGTGAAGCAACTATTTACAATACTTTTTTCCTTTGTTTCAGTGTTCATATTATATGTACATCACGCAGTTGTAATTTGTAATACAAAAATAGTGTAAATTGCTACAATAGGAAATTGACAGTTTCCTGGGTTTTCCCGTATGACATTTGACATGTTGTGGGCGGGATAATTACATTGTTTACATAAAATTCTATTGGCTGTTCTAAACAATGGGAAGTCAAATGCATAGCGAATGTGAGCAGACGTTAGGTGAGGCCTCGGGCCACTAACAACGTCTGCGCAGGAGGCTAATTTAGGAGCGGAATAAATATAAATATATATTTTCATTATTTTGAAAGCAGTCGTCGGTTGAATTTTGGCCAAAATTGCACATAAATTGAATTTAAAGATACTGTTACTTGTCCAGGTAATAAAATGCACCATTAATGATTAGATTTGGATATTAAAGATGTTCGGTTATATTTAAAACGCGGACAGGATTGGCATATTTAATATACTGTACGAAGCCAGACAGGCGAGACAGCATCAAATGCCGAACATATTTCGCTGAAATTTGAACTTTTGACGGATGTTTATCTTTATAAGACAACAGAACTCGGAAGACAGAAAATTTTATATAATACTGTGGCTTATAGAAAGCGAAATATTAGCTTCAAAGTAAACTAATTTGCTGTTTGAGCAACCACTTCTGAATGTAAACTGTAAACACAACACAAACCCGAGAAACTTGTATTAAAATTGCGCCGTGATGAATTTTCCAATTCGCTCAAACCAGTTGAAACGTTTATACTCTAACTTGGCTACTTTTCTACATGACAATGAGAGCCTAATCTTTTAGAAGTTTTCGTCGAAGTTATAGCATATAGGAAGTATCACGAGCAACATTTGGATATATCCTGATATACTCGAGTTTCCCGATTGATTGTTTGTCATTGTCAACAAAAATTTGAGAAGATGATCACAATATTATTCTACGTAAACATCGTGAAGTTCAACGCTATAGTTTCCAAAATATATCCAAGTAAACAAATTTCGAGTTTCAACCCAAACAATATATTCCAATGCATGTGCAAGGGCTTTCCCCAGTAGCTATCTCTCAATAAGGCGGCTTCCACTTGGCTCTAACGTTTTTGAACATTGCCATATGATTGGCTCCTAAAACAAAGAGAATTGAATATGCAGCTCGGGTAAGCAGACGGTAGTATTTCGTCGCTTGGCGTAAAAACTACAACGTCTGTGAGCAGGCTAGGCTATGTTCACAGAACAACTGACTAAATAATCTGCTGATGGGGAGACAAAATCTATTTGTTGACATTTTTGTTTAATACGTCTGCTTCAGATGACACCATTCATTTGTAATGACTAAGATTGTACTCAATCAGAACTGCAAAACTATATAATAGGAAAGAATTTGTGAGCAATATCGAAAAATATGGTATACCCTGAAATGTAGTGACACAAAATATATTAAAAAGACGATCTATTGTTTTAAATACCTCATATCGAACGCTAAACATCAGATCTAAATATAAATGCCTTCATGTAATATCACCAGAAAGAAATAAAGCTATCCTTACCTGAATTAGGGACCGGTCATTATTTATGGCGGGGGGTGGCACCGAAGTGAAAAAGGTTGGGTAAACAAAATTTTGAGTAAGTAAAAGGTTGGGTAAATGAAAAACAAAACAACTCAAGGGTTGGGTAATAAAAATTTACTGTCATTTCCAAAGCATGACCCACTGAAATATTGGAGACTGAAAAGCAATGTCAACAGTCATTTGTCAATACAATATGTGAATCGATCAGAGTCACTATCTTGATCATAGTTTGACAAAACAAATTGTGTTCCAAAGAAAGTACATGTGCAGACAACATGAAACTTTAGACTGCAGAACATTTCACAAGCCGTTATCAAACTCATGTCACTGAAGTGATAGAGGACATGTATGACAAATGAATGGTATCCTTTTGTTAAGTTTTTGGCCAGGGGTGGGTAGTTATTTTTTAATTGATATTTGAGGTTGGGTAATCAAATTTTTGTCTTTTTAATGGTTGGATCAGCAAAATTTTTGACACGGAAAACATTTCTCTTCGGTGCCACCCCCGCCATAAATAATGACCTGTCCCTTATTAATTAAAAATATTGTCGATTTGTGAAAATCCAACATATATCATGCGAGCGCAATACAAAATAAATTTTGACCGCCCCCCTCGTTTAAAAAAACTTCCTGAAGCCTTAATTATTTCCCCGAAATTACGACATCTTTGCAAACAGACAGACACAAATTCTCAATTCGAAATTTCGATCGACTATACATAACTCGGCCAAAGAGACTGGACACAAGTAAAACGCAGACACGCAATACTTCATGTTAAGAATAGTGTGCTGCCTTCGGCAGCAAATATGTGCGTAGTTTATTGAACTGAAATTCATGAACTAAATAATTAAGTCCGAAAGGGAGGTTAATTTTCAATGCCGTTTTAGACCCAACTCTCAACGGTGAATATATGCGATTCTGATTAACATTTTTTATCGGATTCGTATTTGCTCATTTTTTATCCATTTGGCATGAAGAACATATCATTCAACAGCTCAAACTTGTAAAACTATAAGTCTGATCTTTCCGAATATGAAAAATGTCGTTCATAGGCAGAGTGCATGAATGAGTGATACAATAACGCGCTGTTCGATTACCTTTTCTTTATACACTCTGTATAGCAATGTTTTAGGAAAATTACCTATCCGTGACTCGAACAATAGGGAAATTCCTATTCGTGGACTTGGCAAAAAAAAACATACACACCTGATGGTGAAGGACCAGATTTATGAATAAACACTTGACTAACATAGATAATGACTAATAGTATTGTTATTCTAATGATGAGTTTCACAGCCATCTTTCCTTGATAGGGTATGCTTAAATTTAGGGGAAAAAGTGTTTTATTTTAAAACAGAAATAAATATACTATTGGTCCTTGCGATTTCATCTTAATTTTAAGTATAGGGAAATAGGACGGGCATTTTGCAATCGCGTAACGCGTTTACTTCGACGCCAGAGCGAACTAGTTCCACTTCGTTGAATATGTCGTTTATGTCGATCTATTATTTTGATATGTGCGAGACTGTGATTGCTTTGAGAAATAGTACAGACAAAAAAAGGGATTTTCAGCTCTTGATTTTAATTGCTACATGATGATCTTATAACACTCAACTGCATCGATCACTTGCTGTGTTTTAGGCGCTATTAGTAAAACACGGAGCATGGAGCACACGGAGTATGGAGCAGTAGAAAAACGAAAATCCTTTATAATAAAACACACTGTTTACTATTACAAATTTTTGTTATTGTTAATAAAGTTTTTTCGCGTTTACACGTTGGGGAAGTAAGAAAATTGGGCTTTTAAAAAACACATATGCAAAACTGCCAAAAGCCATAGTAGTGTATTTAAAATAGGATTGTGAAACTCGTTATCTTACATCTATCAAGCTTATGTAGTTATGTTTATAATGTACTCTCTATATTCTATTCTATTCTATTCTATTATGTCATGTCATGTCATGTCATGTCATGTCATGTCATATATCATATCATATCATATCATATCATATCATATCATATCATATCATATCATATCATATCATATCATATCATATCATATCATATCATATCATATCATATCATATTATATTATATTATATTATATTATATTATATTATATTATATTATATTATATTATATTATATTATATTATATTTATCATTTATAGACCCGGAGCGAGGGGGATTCGGCGTAATAGGGACCTTAAGCATGTACGACGGCAACGCGACGACGACAATCAAAACAAACTTCAAATAATTTATTGCGAAGAAGGGTTGTTATGTATTATCCACTGCATATGAATTGAATTCAGTTTGAAGAGATGAAAACAAAGGCTTTATTGTTAAAAACGCTTCAGCTGAGCAAATTTGTAGTTTTACTTGTCACGTCTTAACATGTTTGCGTTGTACACGAGACGTGAAAATCTCTGGTTTGCCGTTGTAAAAAGCCCTAACACGACGTCCCTAACTCCCGTGGGGCTTTTAATTATTCAATTCTTTTGTACGAGATGAGGAATATCATTGTGTGAATAGCCGTCGTCGTCGCGTTGCCGTCCTGTTTGCTTAAGGTCCCTAATAGCCTGTTTTAGGCCGCGTTTACACTAACCTGAAGTTCAGGCCTATATTTGTGTATATACATGTACTATATTTTTCGTTTTCAATATTCTGCCGTACTATGTACCTGTGACTCTATTCTAAATTTAGTTGAACAATAACCAATATTTAACTTTGCTATTTTTTTTATTATTTGAATAATATGTTTGCATATGGTTATTTGACTTGCACTCATGTATGAAACGGCGCCATGTAAGAATTTAGAGGAATTATAAAGTTCATCCGTATTTATTACAATACGAATACGAATTCTCGTGGATTTGTGGGAAATTTTTCATGGATTTCTTTACTAGACTTACTCGCTTTTTGGAACTTTGAAAGACGTTTTAGTAATTTAGAGGCTGTTTTGTATATGACAATTAATGATTGCAGCCTACAGTAAAAGTACACGCGCGAGATCTCAGAATAACAGTATTATTAAGTAGCTAATAAATGATATGTATTGCTAGAAATTCCCAAAACATTCATTTGTCATTGAAAACGTTGACAACCAAATCAACAAGCTGGTGTCGTATATATAAAGCAATAGCCACTAGGCAAAACTTACGTTCATGTTATAACTTCAACAGTAACACAGTCCTTAATTTAATATATTAAATACAATATTTATTTACTGCCGTTGATCGAAGGAACATGGACGTTTTGCCTCGTGCTCTATATTTATATGACATCATCCTGCTTGTTGGTTGTTAACGTTTTCAATGACAAACGAATGTTTTGGGAATTTCTAGCAATACATATAATATATTAACTACTTTATTTAAACATATTTCTGATGAGAATGAGTTTGCCCCAAGGGCGTACACACTCATCAAGGGGGCTTACTTAATAATAC